GTTATGCACAAACAATGAATCATGGAACACTGCATCAAAAACTAATGATGTAATGTATGGTGGTTAACATAACAATAAAAAAATTATTAAAAAAAAAGCCAATAGAAAATGATAAAAGCTATAAGTAGGTATTTCATAGTAGACAAAACATTAATGGCCAGTGAATATATGAAAAGTTGTTGAACATCTTTAATAGTCAGGAAAATGCAAATTAAAGTCAAAATAACATATTAACCTACAAAATTAGGAAAAGATAAAAAGTCTGACACAACCAATTTTAATTGAATATTGGAACAACATGAATGCTCAACTACTACTAATGTGAAGATAAACTGGCACAATTACTTTGGAAATAGTTTGACGTTAATAAAATTGGAGATGTGCACACCAAAAACCTAGCGATTCTATTGCAAGATATATAATTGAGATCCTTTCCCAAAAGGACAACAGGAGATATTAAGAAACATTCATAATGCATTGTTTAAAATTACAAAAATAACGAAAGCAACTTAAATGTCTACTAGGAGGGAACATTAAATAAATTAAGGTATGAAAGAATGCAATATGAAGTACAGCAATACACACCAACAGGTCTTATTCTCAGAAAAATCATGTTGAATGAATAAAGGAATTAGAAAATTATATAATAATGTTCAATTTATATAAGTACCAAGTTATACATAAATAAAAAAACATTTAAGAGTACATACATAGTTGGTAAATGCAAAAGAAATTCAAAGAAATAAGAAACTAGAAAAACAATCAACTATGTGGAGAGAAACAACAATTTCATAGGATGGAAGATAAAAATGTTCTCAAAGGTATTGACAGAACTCTAATTCTTAATTTCTATGATAGATGCTTGGGTCTTCTTTACTTGATATTCTTTTAATTATATATTTTGTATATACTTTTTGTAGGTATATATTTCATAGAATTAATTTTTTAAAGACAATGAATAGAGAAATGTAGAATATATCCATAAGCCTGTATAATTTCCAGTGTAGTCCAGAAATCTGACACCTGTACTGTATAAAATATTATATTTTCCAGGGGCTCAGACTTCAGGTAGACATAACACTTACTAATATTTTCAAATATGATATTTTTACTGAATATTTTACACCATTTCGTTGTATGTATTTGGTAAGAAAACACCTACTAGATATTTAAGAATATAAACACTTTATTGGAACTAGCAATATATGAGCTTGTTATAGTAGAAAATTATTTCTGTTATTGAATTGGATAATCTGGGTTTGAATATCAGTTCTTATGGCTTCTGGTTATGATGTTCTTAGGGAACTTCCTCTCATTCTTGTTTCTGGAGTTTGCTGATCTATAAAATGTGGATAACAAGAGCAGTCCTACAAGGTTTTATAGTTTTCCCTCTTAGAAAATGTGGCCAAGGTTCAGTAGCAGCAAGAAGGGGCAGAGAAAATACATATAAATATTGAAAACATGGTTTCTGAAGATGGATAATTTCTGTGATAATTAGAATAGTTCTATTTTAATATTTTCATGATATAATACACTGAAAAAGATGTTTTTGTTTCTAGAATTTACCCTATTTTTTGGCCTTGAATTTTAGACATATCATGTTACAAGAAAAAAGAACAGACGTTTTCTAGGGAACTTTGAAAATAGCTTATTTATGGCACCCAAAAATTTCTAGGATGGTATACACATCTCCAATTTTGTTAGGTAATTATATGTTAAAATTCTTTTTTTACATGAAGAAATGTATCATGTGCATTTTACTACTTCCAAGGTTATCAGCCATGGATATAAGAAAGTTAGGTTTACTGTAAAACATTTGGCTATATTTGATCCACATAAACCATCCAAAATGTGGGCTAGATTTACACATATTAATAACATATTTTTTGAACTCAGGAAATATACTTTTTTTTTTTTACTTGGAAAATAGGATTTTATTATGAGGTCTTTTTGAGATTTAAGTGCTGTATTTTATCACAATGAGAATCTCAAAGCAAATATTCTGTAGACGCTTAAGTATTCAGTTTATTTGGATGGTATACTTGAACATAATAAAAGTTACAAAGCCTAAAATAAGCAAGCAACAAGTCAATAAAATCACAACTCAGAATTCTAACATTTTCACATGGTATCACTGACTATGAAATGCAAAAAGACTATAAATGTTTTAAGTGGAATGATCTCTAACCTAATAAATTACACTAGTGTGACCAAAACAAATGATCGCATACTATAGAAGACAATAGAACATGAGCTGTTCTCCAGGACTGCTTTTTCAAAGCTTGAAAAATTAACTGACCCATCATTTTAGGGGGGAAAAAGAGAAGTATGGATTATGAGGCTCTACATGTAGATTTTAAAAATGCTAATTAAAATATCTTAGACTATTTTAGATGTTTCTTGACATTGGAAATGTAGTCAACTATCAAAGTATTTTCTCTTCATCACAAAAATTCCATATATTAAGGATTTACACAATCCAGGGGAAAAAAACAAACAAACCCCTAGAAACATTTTTGTTGCCTGAGCCAGTAATTTTCTAAAAAGGCTCTCCAAAATCTTGACTAGAGGTGTCATACTCTGCAATGAAATGCTTGAGTTCTTCAACACACCGCTCACCTATTTCATGTAAATTCTGTCTCAATGCAAATTGTACAGACTTTTCTAATGAAGGATCTTTTTCAATCAGCATTTTCACAACCATCCCGAAAGTTTCACAGTCTTGTCGGTAAACCTGTTCAATCTCTTTGGTTTTTGATGCTATTGCTTTAGAGCGACTGCTTAGTTGACTGTCTTCAAATAATTCTATGCCATCTGCTGCATTTGACTCAGGTTCCTCTGGCTGCTCAATAAACAATGGTACTGTGGATCCTGCCTCATACTCAATTTCAGGTAAGTTACTCTCATCTGCCTTCTCTAGCTTCTCAGCAGCCCACTTGCTTGCAGCCTCAGCAAGTTCCTTTTCAGTTAGCCTACTGGGTTTGTCTAACACCTTTGATGGAGGAACTGCTGAAGAACTTGAGGGTGAAGTGTCTCTTGATGTTTTCAAAGACTGAACAGGTCTCTCTTTACTTCTATGTTGAGACTGATGGAAAGAGTACGTTTTGCTTCTTTCTGGAGAGTAGCTTCTACTACTGACACTGGAGCCAGACCTGCTGTGTGGAGAATCCTTCCGACCTACAGGTGATTCTCTGAAAAAAGGAGTGTCTCTTTTATGAGGAGACCAGTCTCTCGTGTAATGGGAAGAATAGAAACTTTTTCTTCTAAAGCCATCTCTCATGTCCCTGTACTCAGGCTGTTGACTTGCAGAATGATCATCTCTTGTCCACCTATAGCCAGATTCATCTCCTCTGTGAGGTGGACCACTTCTTCCATCATGAGAAAAACTGCGGCCCTCGTCATATTCTTGGTAATCAACATGACTGTAATATCTACTGTAGCTTCCTTCACCAGGTCTGTCTAGCAGTGATGGTTTCTTTGGCACAATATTAACTACTCTATGGTAGCCATCACTGGGGTGATTTCGAAGAGGTACTCGTTCTCTTGGAAGTCTTTCATAGTCATATCGTCCTTCAGACCACATTTCATCTCTTCTGTAAGCCATTGAGTCCTTTCAGGAATCAAATTTAAAGTTTTCAACAATCTCCGACTCTGGGCCACCGGGAGACCCCGTAAATGTAGTCGTCGGCTCGTCGCTCCTCTCCTAAGCAGCGGGACCCCTCTCACTCTTGAGAGCTTCTTCTGTATCTTCACTTAATAAACTATCACTTTACTCACATACAAAAACAAAGACCGTAGGACATCTAAGTATTGAACAATATAAGCAATGTGTTACTGTCAATACCCCATCCATCCACATTGGATTTTTTCTATTGTGGTAAAATATACGTAAAATTTACTATTTAACCATTTTTAAGTGTACAGTCCAGTGGCATTAACTACATTCACATCGTTATGCAACCATCACCACCATCCACTTCCAGACCATGCTGGATTTCCATTTGAATCTCTTCATCTCCTACCAAAGTAAAATTGAGCCCACTGAGTCCAGGGCACTCACCTAGAATAATCAACTCAATCAGCCCCCTCCTCTGCATTACCAGTGAAAAATTTTTTCAGATCTCCTTGGAACATGTATAAGCTTCTTACAATCCTCCAACTACCTCCCCACAAAAATAAGAGGCCTGTACCAGTACTTTAACATCCAATAACCTCTGACCTTTTTCTGGTCCATGGGCACTACTGAAGATATGCAATCGCCCTACGGGCTCCAAGCTACACCCCAAGGATTCACTGGGTCTCTCTGTCTCCTCCTCTTCTTCAACCTCCCAGTTAATAGCCTGGGTGTCCTCCATGACCTGGGAAGGAAACACATTATCATCATCTCTATCAGAGGTTCACACACACAGCCTCAAAGAGGGGGATGATAACTGGGGGTAAATCTGGAGAGTTGTGGAGGTTGACATTTCTCCTTCTGACAATCATTGTTATTACCCTTCTGAAACACTTAAAAAATATTTGACTATAATAAAAAATAAATATTATGGGGGAGGGAATAAATATTAGAAGGTCCCAAGTACGCTTACGTATAGAGACAAACATTTTGAGAAACAATGCTTAGTCTATGGTATACAATACACTGATAGTCTTCATTCTTTTTTTTCCCCATCCACTATTGTTTAAATGCTGATCTACAACCTGCTAAACTGATTTCACTATCCACTACTGGGTTGGAACCAACAGTTTGAAAAAATCATTTTAAAGGGAGCTAAACTTTGCCAAGCATCAACTGTGTGTTGGGCATTGTGTTATGTGTCAGGCATAATAGACATATGAGGCATGCATTTGGGAAACTAAGGCTAAAAATATTAAATGACTTGCTCAGGATAACATAGCAGGTAGGTGGAAAGGACAGGAATAAATGTGCTTCTGGAGGCAAAGCCCATGCTTTTTATATTTTACCAGAACATCACAGTGTGATCAAACTAAACTGCAAAAAATCCTAACAGCTGACATACATAAAGCCTTGCTATGTGTGAAGCACTGCTCTAGTTACTTTGTAACGACAGACTCTTAATCCTCACAAGAACCTTGTAAACTATTATTATATTCCATTTATCAGATTAAGCATCTGCAACAGAGATGGGTTAAGGAACTTGCCCAAGAGCACCAAGATACTGTCTGTCCTCTGTTTAATATTTGATGGCTTTCCATGCCCACATGGTAAAATAAAATCTCAACTCCTTAGCAAGGACCCTCCATGATCTGAACCTCAGGTCCTGTTCCCCTCCCCCAAAGCCTAGGGTTCGGCCACATGGACCTTCTCCCCAATTTCTGAACACACTGCTCCTGTTGTTCCCCACACCTGCATGCCTTAGCCAGTTCCTTGGCCCTTCACTCTTAGTTTTCTGGTCCAACTCTTACCCATATTTTATGATTCAGTTCAAATGTCACTTCCTCAATAAGGTCCTTCCTGGAATCTTCCCTGCTTTCTGGTGTTTTTTGTGTACCCACATGGTCCCCACTGGTCACTGAACTTGTACCTCCCCTAATCCTTCTCACTATATTGTAACCATTAATTTCCATTTCTGCCTTCACAGACCCTCTGGAGAAGTGGACCAGCAAAACTGTGTCTTTTCCCCTAGGGCACATCATTTTCTTTCGACAGTACCTACTGCGCACCTGGTACTGTTCAAAGAGCTCGGGATACATTCACAAACCAAACATAAAATTAACCCTGCCCTCCTGATAAAAGGACAAATGAAAGGTGATGAAAACTCCAAACAGTATGAGTGGAATTCACTCAGAAAGATGCCACCACAGAGATTAACTGTTGGAAGGGAAAGTAGGACGCGCCCACGGGGATAGTGCTAACTCCCTCCTTAAGAATGGCGAACGCAGCGGGAGCCCAGGACCCTTGGCTCCAATCCAGTGGGCCACCATCTTTTATCTCCACCCCAGGGATTCCCTCCAGGCCCAACATCTTCATACCTAACTCGGGGAGGGGCGTCAAGTAAGGATGAGTATTATAATCCCGAGACACAAACTTCCAAGTATCCTCCGCCCAGTCGCACCCAAGGCACGCCCCTCCCGCCCTCCGGGAGAACCAAGATGGCTTCCGAGGAGCCGTGGGCGAGGCCCCCCAGAACTCACCTACTTTGAGTCCCCGCGCGCGCGCCACCAGTAACGGCCGCGACCCAGTGGCGCAGGAGCTCGTGCCGAGAGGGCGCCGATTCGCTGATTGGCTCCTGCTGCTGTCTTTCACAGCCCTGCTGCCCCACGATTGACGAAGCTCCCAACCCGGAGGCCCAGCCAAAGCCTCGCCCCCAGCTCCCACCCCGCCCCCGCTCCCACCCCGCCCCCTTAACAGCTCAGAGGGGCGGCTTTTCCTGGGCGCCCGAAATTGGTTGAGTGAGGCGGTAATCGGAGGCTACCGTGCGCGCACGGAAGGGCGCACTTCGATTGGGCAGCACCGAGGCACAACCCACCACCGCTTCACCACCCACCGCCCACGTCCCGCGCAGATTTCCAAACCGCGACCACAGAGTCTGGGTGCCGACGGCGGATAGAGGGGCTTACCATAGCCGTCGCCGGATGCGTCTACTGCAGCCAAGAGAGCCCTTCCTTGGTCCTCCCAGACATGGAGTCCGCTGACTCATGAGAAATGAAAATGCGGTGCGGGGTGCAGTCGTGGCCGGAGGCTGCAGTTTGGAAAACTGCCCGTAGGCGTGGCGCTTGAGGACTCCTCATCGCAGTGGAACTCCATCTCCTATTGATTTGGCTCTTTTAGTAGAAGCCCTGTCCTTTCCTCCCTGAGACTACATCCCTGATGGACATTTGGAGGTCATTTTCCTAAGGATCCGTAGACGAAGAGGGAGAACTGTTTTGTTAACTATCTTAAAGGTTGACCGAGGTCTTTCAAGAGGTTGAGGAAGGTTGATAAAATCATCTTATTTCATTATGTCATACTAAGACGAGAAGAGAATAGTAACAATTCGATTATGTGTATACTTCAGGAAGGCCTTTTGCATTCATTATCCCACTTTCTTGCGACCACGACAATCCAATAGGGAAAAGCAGATTTTACAGAGGGAATTGAAGTGTGCTAAGTTAAAGGACCTACCGAGGTTCCTACAGCTAACGTAAGGGAGGGACAACATGAAACAAGTCCTCTAATTCTAAATTCTGAACTCTTCCCCCCCACACACAAAATAATTACTTTCATTGCGATCATGCCCTGAAACATAAAATACTCTCTTTTAAGTGGGTAGAGAAGGTCTTACACAACTTGATGTTTGTTTTTTATTTAGGTGAGGAGAAATGTGTTGAATGCACTGTGAATTAACAATGATCTTGATATGATACACCTTATTACAGTGCTTACCACACTCCATTGTTTATACACTTCCCATCAAATTGCAAAATCCTGAAGACCGGGGACCCGATTTTTACTCATTTTGTATCCCCAGCTTCTAGGTTGGTGGACACTTAGTATCTATCAAATGAATAAACCCCTAAGAAGCACGCCACTCTGACTTGAGCCCATCCTATTTTCTCCCATGGGCCCCCCCCCCTCTTTTGTTTCAATCCTGAGGCTTTTGAAAGATTGCAACAGCCAGCCACCTAGTCAGTGAATTTAGCAAACTGAAAAACACTTTCACCAAAATGTCTAGAGAGGCAGGCTGGAAGGCACTGAAATTCTGGCACCTCATCCATAGTTCTCTGACAAAAGCAGTGCCTTCAATTCTTCTCTAAGGCCCGGAACCCCTTACATGGAGAGAAACTTCTGACTTCCAGATACCAGTTTTTCTAAACCATTCAACTTACTCTTGTGAACACACCCTCAGACTCAGACAATTACATCTCTCTTCTGAAAAGCCATTGCTGCAATTTTGTTTCTCTTTCTGAACATTATCACTAGAAAACTTCCAAAAAAACAGCAGGAGGGCAGTCTCCTCTTCCTATCTGGGAGAGCAGCGGCTTACTGGAGTTCATGTCTTGGGTCACCAAAGGGCCAACTGTTAGATAACAGAACAGGGTGCTGCATTTCTCCCCAGTTTTCGCTGAGCTAAGCAGCCCTCTCTTCCCAAGAGCTACAGCAGCAGGGAGCGTGAGGGCGTGCCCACTCCACCTTCCAACGCCTGGCACCGTAGGGTTCCCAATTCCTGTATCCCCGAAAACTACTCCCTTTTAGTACAAAAAACTCAGGCATAGGGGAAAGAAAACTTGCGCAAGGTCATTTTTCATAAACTAAAAAAAAAAAAACCCAAACCAAAAATCCAGTATCCACCCATCCCTCCCTTCATTTTGCAGCGTGGACAACAATGGAGGACTACAACTCCCAGTGAGGCCTGCATTCGTCCATCCGAGCAGAGACCAATGGACGTCTCAGACGTGACTGGCATCGACTAATCAGGTCCAGCCTCGATAAGGCTTTGTCTCCCGACCGCGGCGCGGGGCGCGTTCTCCCGCCTCCCAGCCTAGGCGCACGCGCGCCCCGCCCTGCCCGCCTTCCCTCCTTCGCCCTCCCCTCTCTTTTCTCCCTCTCAGAACCTTCCTGCCTCTGCGTTCGGACCTCGCTGCTCCAGCCTCTGGGACACGTCCCGTCCTTCCAGCCTGCGGTTAGCAGTATAGAAAAAAAATTCCCTATCATTTTCTTGCCCCGTACACACCTTGAGGCGAGCAAAAGAATTAAAAATAAATTTTAACAATGAGGGAAATCGTGCATATCCAGGCCGGTCAGTGTGGCAACCAGATCGGTGCCAAGGTAAGGATTTTAAACCTCTTCTTTTAACTATATTTCTTTTGAGAAGAAAAAAAAAAGTCCAGATAAATGATGAATGGTTGTGATATATATTTGCATACCATCCATAGTCAAGCTTTGCCCCTCAAAAGTTTTCCATATATAATAGACGTTTGTAGCTAGAATTTGTTTTTTGAAAAACGGGGGAATTAGTCTTGACTGGCTCATTTTGGGGAAACTGTTAAGGACCTTTCGGGTTTGGCGGTGGGAAGACGGTGGTTCTGTAAGATTTTATTTGAAAGTGTTCTAACGGTCCGAGGACCGGGGAGGGAGGGAGATGCGGAAACGGTCCGAGACAAAGCGAGGCGAGGTTTCCCCCATGTGCATCCCCCTTGGCTGGGCTTCGCCGGAGGGGGAAGGGGGAAGGCTGGGCGGCGGCTGAAGGGAGTCCGGATCCCACGGTGGGGTGGGGGACGCGGTGCGCCAGGGTGGGCTGCGCTGCACCCTTCCCAAAAGATAGGCATCTCGCGCGCCCGCGTTTCCCGAGGGGCGGTCCCGTAGTTCTTTGTGGATGGAAAACTAATAGCTGCTGGATTAATTTTATTTCCTTTAATCTCCCGTAAAGAGACCCTTTTAGGGCGTGAACCAGTATGGAGAAAGAGGGCAGGAGGGTCCTTTTCTTTAAAGGGTCCCTCAGGACGAACGGTGGGAGAAAGGAAGAGAATCCTTATTTAAAGCAAGGGGTAAAAAGCTAGCAAAAGAAGAAAATTCCGAGGCCAAGGCAAGGGGTGGTTTTTTTGGTGTTTTTTTTTTTTTGCGCGCGGTTACAGTGTAGCGGGGGAAGGGCCAGGAGGAAGTGCTGCTGCTACGTTGTAGCCGAAGGGCGGGGCCCGGGCGCCCCTGGCGCGCCGGGACAATGCGGCCCTGCCGGCCGCCTGGGGGCGCCCTAGCCCAAGTCGAGCCCCGCCTCTCGCGGGCCGAATTCAGGCCCCGCCCCCGCCCACGCGCGACACCTCCCTTTGTCAGTGGCACGGCGGGCGCCGCAGTCACGTGGAGGGTGGGGTGGGGTGGGGTGGGCGGTGGTCGATTGCGGCAGCATCTGGTCTCTCGAGCCCATTGTGCTGGGCGGGAAGGTGTGCTCGTCCGGTGTGGTCGGCCGCCTCGCTCCCCCTCTCCTCACACTCCCACCCCACAATTAACTGCGATCGCCGGGCCTCCTCAGCTGCACCTCGTCTCGCGTTCCAAGCAGTGAAAGCTTCGGCTTCCTTGGGGTTGCGGGTGTCTGGTGGAAGGGTGTGGCAGGCAGACAGGGAACGCCAGGCCCTAGAACCAGGCTCACTACGGGTGTGTCTGGGATTAAAATGTGTAGGTCGGGTGGGCATAATTGGCCGGGACCAGAGCTGTGGAAGTCTCATTGCTTTCCCTCCGCAGTTCTGGGAGGTAATCAGTGATGAACACGGCATCGATCCCACCGGAACCTACCACGGTGACAGCGACCTGCAGCTGGATCGCATCTCCGTGTACTACAATGAAGCTACAGGTGAGGTTGGGAGCCCGGGGAAGCTTGGGGTCTCTTCTCCCGCTTCTCTAGGGTCTCTTTTCCAGCCCTGGAGTACTTCTTACCACCTTTGGATGGATTTGTCCTTCCTTTTTTTAAGGAGGCCTTGATTTGATTGCCCACCGTGGGGCAGAAGATTGGCTCTTATGCCCCCTGGTGGCCGCACTTGGAATCACAAGTTAGGGTCCCTGGCAGTCTCCCAACCCCAGTTGATCTCCTTTGCCAATTTGTACTCTACTTTATTCCATATAGGTGGCAAATATGTTCCTCGTGCTATCTTGGTGGATCTAGAACCCGGGACCATGGACTCTGTTCGCTCAGGTCCTTTTGGGCAGATATTCAGACCAGACAACTTTGTTTTCGGTGAGTTATATGCAATGTGCTGTTCAATGTATTTGGGTAAAGGAGACAGCAAGGAGATTATTGTTATTCCGGAGTGCTTATCCAGGGCTGTATTCTGAAATCTCTAATGCAGGGTGTTGGTAGGGACTGCCTTAGATGGTAAATTATGGGGGAGGGACGTATCACAGGTGAGTGAGAAAGAAGGCACCTTTGTGTACATTATTCCAAAAGTTGAAAGGTGGAAATTTGGTCCTTTATTTTTCATGCTTTACTAATCAGGCTTGCCTCCCAATCCCATTCCAGGTCAGTCCGGGGCAGGCAACAACTGGGCCAAGGGCCACTATACAGAGGGGGCTGAGCTGGTTGACTCAGTCCTGGATGTGGTGAGGAAGGAGGCTGAGAGCTGTGACTGCCTGCAGGGCTTCCAGCTGACCCACTCGTTGGGTGGGGGCACAGGCTCTGGAATGGGCACCTTGCTCATCAGCAAGATCCGAGAAGAGTATCCTGACCGCATCATGAACACCTTCAGTGTGGTACCCTCACCCAAAGTGTCTGACACGGTGGTCGAGCCCTACAACGCCACCCTCTCCGTCCATCAGCTGGTAGAGAACACGGATGAGACCTACTGCATTGACAATGAGGCCCTGTATGACATCTGCTTCCGTACTCTCAAGCTGACCACGCCAACCTACGGGGACCTGAACCACCTCGTCTCAGCCACCATGAGCGGTGTCACCACCTGCCTCCGCTTCCCTGGTCAGCTCAATGCTGACCTCCGCAAGCTAGCCGTCAACATGGTGCCCTTCCCACGTCTCCACTTCTTCATGCCCGGCTTCGCACCTCTGACCAGCCGTGGAAGCCAGCAGTATCGGGCCCTCACTGTGCCCGAACTCACCCAGCAGGTCTTTGATGCCAAGAACATGATGGCCGCCTGTGACCCCCGCCATGGCCGTTACCTCACCGTGGCTGCTGTCTTCCGTGGGCGGATGTCCATGAAGGAGGTAGATGAGCAGATGCTCAACGTGCAAAACAAGAATAGCAGCTACTTCGTGGAATGGATCCCCAACAACGTCAAGACAGCAGTCTGCGATATCCCACCGCGTGGCCTCAAGATGGCAGTCACCTTCATCGGCAACAGCACGGCCATCCAGGAGCTCTTCAAGCGCATCTCGGAGCAGTTCACGGCCATGTTCCGGCGCAAGGCCTTCCTGCACTGGTACACGGGCGAGGGCATGGACGAGATGGAGTTCACCGAAGCCGAGAGCAACATGAACGACCTTGTCTCCGAGTACCAGCAGTACCAGGACGCCACCGCAGAAGAAGAAGAGGATTTCGGTGAGGAGGCCGAAGAGGAGGCCTAAGGCAGAGAGCACCATCACCTCAGGCTTCTCCGTTCCTTCAGCCTTCTTCCTCAGCTGCCCCTGTTCTCTCCCTCAGAATTGCATTTTCCGCCTCTGTCTCATTTTATTTTGTTTTGTTTTCCTTTTTTGGAGGGGGGATCCTAGAACAGTGCCTGGCACATAATAGGCGCTCAATAAATATTTGTTGTTTGTTGAATGTCTCCTCTCTTCCACTCTGGGAAACCTAGATTTCTGCCATTCTGGGTAGCCCTGTATTTCCTTTTGGTGTTCACTTCTCCCATCTGTCCAGTTGATATTTCCCTTTGTTTTTTAAGATAATTCTCCAAGAAGCTGGGTCCCATCAGATCCCATTTAGAACCATGTGCTGAAAACCCAGTAGATGGCCACCATCCTAAGCCCATGTGGTAGCCCAGGGGAAAGGAAACTAAGTTACCTCATAGCAGTAGAGGTACCTATAAGGAAGGGGTAGGGTTTTCTATTCTAGAGCAGTTTTGGAGAGGGACATTCAGGCTATTGAGTCCTAATTTCCAGGAATTTCCCTGCTCCTCTCAGCTTCAGGAGAGGTGTTGACAGTATTATCTCTATTTTTCATCTTCTTCCAAGCTCTGTTCTGAGCTTTTTTTTCAGGGGTCTGCCCCACTCTGTTAAACAGGATCCTCCCTCTCCTACATAACCTCCTTCATACGTTGGATTCCTTCCTTTTCCCCTGGCTGGAGAAGGGGGCCAAGAGGGGGAAGCAGGACTAGCCTCCAGAAAGGCCCTCCTCCTCCCCACCTTTTCTTAGCAAACACGCAGCTCTGCTGTGTATGTATGGAAAGGTGTGTATTGCCACCTAAATCTTCTGAATCATTCTTCCAGAGAGGGGACAAGGAGACCCTCCATCTTGGGCAACATCTCATTCCTTCTTTTGCTATTTCTTCCTTTTGCTATTTCTTCCTTTTGCTATTCCCTCCCCCTGCCCTTGGCTTCATCCTGTCCTACACTTCAAATTTCTATTTTGTGTTGAACTTGCTTTTTTTCATATTGAAAAGATAACATTGCCCCAAGAGCCAAAAATAAATGACAACTGAACAAAAGTTGTGAGATGTGTGCTCATTTAGGGAAAGACTACCAGTGGTACATGAGGCTCACATTCAGCTACACATAAACTTTGCTCTCCATAAACTGATGAGACTATCCTTATACTTAATTGACCCTCATATCTTAACCCCGGTACCCAAACCACCCCACCACCTTCACTAACAGCCTCAATAACTGGGATAGGCACAGGCTCAGATACAGGATCAACGGACAGAAGCGGGAATTGAGATGAATGTTGAAATAGGGCATAAGTGGTTCCCAGACCATCAACATTCTCTTGGAACTTGTAGAAATGGAGATCTTCAGGCCTACCCAGAAGTACTGAACCAGAAACCAGTTAACTAGCAATCTATTTTAACAGTACTCCAGGGCAATCTTGCAAATGCAGAGTTGAAAGCTACTACTACCTCCACTTCCAGTGTATAGCACACCCAGGGTTCATTTGGGTTATGGTATCTTGCTGGTTTCTCTTACTTTTGGGATTTTCTCAGTTAACATAAGGGAAAGATAACCAGTGGGGGATATCACTTATTGGTCCCATTCTAAAGTAACACTTCCACCTAATACAACATGCTTCTAAGAACACAAAGTAAGTCTCAGAGCTACCCTGGAAGTTTAAGTCTATAATTTTCCTTGGCCCTATTTTCAGTAATTCTGGGGACTAGTTCAAGTTACCACTTCTTCCATTTCAGTATGCTTTTTCTGCTTATACTATAACCAAATTTTGCAGAAGAAAAGTTGTACAATTTTAACAGTGTATAAGGTAACTTCTCCCATTCTCAAAAGTCTATTGAAGGGAATAAGCTACATTCATTCCAGCATTCATTTTGAATGAGTTCTGCTTTATTAAGTTAATTGTTAATCAGCATTGGTACCTTTTAACAGCAATTGATTTGACAAAGTTGAGAACCTCCAGGCCATCCCTCAGTTTTGGTCAGGAAAATTCTAGACAATAGGTACACACAGTCTAATTAGGAAGTTAAATTGGGGGTGAGTAGGATAATCAGAAGGGTGGCATGGAACCCCCGGGGCACTGGTAGTTTTGGCAGTGTGGGGTTGGGAAGAGTAACCCTTCCCCTCCAAGGCAAGGCACAAGGCTATTTGGCAAGGAGATGAGGGGTGAAATCCCACTGTCAAGGGCATGCTCAGGGAAGCCAGCTCGGCATGCAGTATGGGGACCATTCTGGCAACTATGAGGCTAGGCATCGGCGAAGGTTGGCTCAAGCTGTTCGCAAAGGCTTGTGGTTCACCTGGTAAAAAGACAACAGGGAGGACACTTGGGAACCATGTACCCTGTTCTCCCAGCTCCCCGTTTGGATGAGGGCTGCAGGGAGGACATGCATTTCCAGAAGTCTTCTATTTTTTTTTTCTGCCGCCCTACCATACCCTCTTGTCAAGCAGTAATTAGGACCAATATATAACAATCGCTAAAAAGGAGTGGAGGGGGCTAGAGCCCTGCTTGCACAGACCCTCCTTACCTCCTAAACTTTCAGTGCTTTCAATGCCGGCCTCAAGAAGGATCCAAGGAACCCAGCTTAAGGTCACTGGTATGCTCTACACTTTTCACTTTTGTAATTTTTTTTATTTAAAGATTTTATTTATTTTTGACAGAGAGAGTGCACAAGCAGGGGAAGCAGCAGGCAGAGGGAGAGGCAGAAGCAGGCTTCCCGCAGAGCAGGGAGCCCAATGCGGGGCTCGATCCCAGGACCCTGGGATCACGACCCGAGCCGAAGGCAGACACTCAACCGTCCGAGCCACCCAGGCGCCCCTGTAATTTTTTTTTTTAAAGGTACTTTGAGAGAGAGAGAGAGAGAGAGAATGTGCACAAGCAGGGGGAAGAGCATAGGGGGAGAGGGACAAGCAGACTGCACTGAGTGTAGAGCCCAACGCAGGCCTATCCCAGGACCCTAAGATCATGACCTAAGCCGTAACCAAGAGTTGGACGCTTAACCAACTGAGCCACCCAGGCGCCCCGCCCCTATATAACTTTTTAAGCACACTCATATATAGTATGTGCCAAGCACTGTCCTAAACACTGAAAATATTTACTCATTTAATCCCCTTAACAATTCAATAGAGTAGATGCTATTATTAACCTGATTTTAAGGTGGGGAAAGAGGTACAGGGCACCTAGGTGGCTCAGTTGGTTGAGCGGCTGCCTTCGGCTCAGGTCATGATCCTGGAGTCCTGGGATCGAGTCCCACATCGGGCTCCCTGCTCAGCAGGGAGTCTGCTTCTCCCTCTGACCCTCTTCCCTCTCGTGCTCTCTATCTCTCATTCTCTCTCTCTCAAATAAATAAATAAAATCTTTAAAAAAAAAAAAAAAAAGAAAGAGGTACAGAGAAATAGCTAACTTGTCTAAAGTCACAGCTAGCATGCACTGGAGCCAGGATTCACACCATAACAGTATGGTTCCAGAGCCTGCTTTCTGACCTCTACCATAATCTATAGGTGAATAAACAGGCACCAAGACAGACCGTGATATGCCTTGGAATCAACTGTCAACAGGCTGCAACCAGTTCCTTGTACTGGTGGGGTGACCACAAGGCTCTAGAAGACAGTCAGCCTAGGTTTTTGAAATCTAGCTTTACCAGCTAGCTGTATGACAGGGGCACAGTTCCTTAACATATTGAAAGTTGTTTCTTTACTTTGTAAAATACCATACACCCAAAGGATAGTTTGATTTAAAAAAAACAACCAACGATTTGTGTAGAAGCTTAGCACTGTGGGGGCGCCTGGGTGGCTCAGTTGGTTAAGTGTCTGTCTTCAGCTCAGGTCATGATCCCAGGGTCCTGGCATCAGGTTCTCTGCTCAGCAGGGAGTCTGTTTCACCCTCTCCCCTGCCCCCACTCATGCTTTCTCTCTCTCTCTGCAGTAAATAAATAAAATCTTAAAAAAAAAAAGCAGCAGCAGCAGCAGCTTAGCACTGTGTCTAGCATAGAGAAAGCAAAAATGTCGGTGGCTCCCGAGCCTCCTTGGTGCTGGTCTAGTACTAGGCCTGCTGCATCACATGCCCCAGGAACACAGAAACTCACAGAAAATCCACAGCTCCCACCCCAGAGACCCTCACCTGGGAGATGCTGACGCCTGTGAGTCTCTCCACGCTCTCTGGCAGGCGGCTCAGGATGTCCAGTACTTCCCCAGTCACCTTGGCTGCCCCCATGGTCCCACCTCCACTGGACACCAGTGTGATCTTATTGGCTGAGGTCAAGGGACCACTGATCTCCTCTGCTACCTGGTAGGTGAGAGATGCCCACTCAGCACCTGTGGTCTGACCACACCCCTCCTAAAACGCCTTACCCTGGGCTTCAAGATCCTTGATCTTCTTTACTTTGTAAGGATCATTCTTCCTCACTTCAGTCACTGGCTTATAATTCCCACCCCTAACCTAGAGTCCCCTAGCCTGGTTCTTCCCAAGCCCCTCATTTTCCCCCCACCCTACAATCCCTGGTTCTGTTCCTCTCCTGGTGCACACACAACCTCCAGACCTGGGGCAGCTTCTCCAGCAGCATGTCCAGCTGAGCAGCCTCCTGGTACAGCTGGAATGCTTCTGCCTTCTTGGCCATCTGCTCGGCCTCAGCCCGGGCTCGAGCCCCTATGGCAAAGGCCTCGGCCTCCCCACGCATCTGAGAACGGTACAGGAAACTGTGGTACTGATGGGTGTAGTTGAGGACAAGAAACCCCAGCTCAAACAGCAACCCCCACTCACTCCACAAGCCAGCAAGAGCCACCTCTTAACTCACCCTCACAGACTCAGCTTCTGCCTCAGCCTGCATAATCAGCTGGGACCTGGGCACAGAAAGGGACGTGGGGGGGGGAGGCGCTGAGGAAGGGCGAAAGGCAGGCCCCCGGAGAGACACAGGCCCCTGTAACCCAAGTTCCGTAGGGGTTCAGGTAGTGAGGGCCTCAGTTCTTCATATGGGGGCACCCAGGTGGTGAAGGACTAGGATGGGGCCTGGGAGGGGGCATTTACTTCTCTGCCTCAGCTAGGCGCTCCAGCCTGTAGCGCTCTGCTTCCGCGGGCTTCCGAACTCGGGCCTCCAGCTCCTTCTCTCGTCGGGCGATCTCCTGTTCCTGCACTGCCACCTGCTGGGCCCGCTCCACCACCTGCACCTG